CAAACCCCAGTCAGGCAGCCAGCCAGGCATGGCAGGCAACAACCCTTATTCCTTTCTGCTTTTCTTGCCCACCATGCTCTTCTTCCAACCTCCCTTCAACACAACCTCCCTTCCCTTTGTCTTTGTCTTTCCCCTTCTCCCTTCTCCCTTCCCTTCCCAGTTCCAAATGAGCCTCTGAGCCATGTACTCCCCTTTATATACAGCAATGGCTGCCAGTGCTGAAACCTCTCACCTCTCCAAAACATCTCCCCTGATTGGCTGGGAGGATAGGCAAGGAGCCTCCCAGCCTCACAGGAGGCTAGAGGACTGAAAATATGCTGAATTATTTCAGAGTCACTTCCTGAGTCGTAACAAAAATGGTGGGAAAAGCTTCGGAAAGGCAAAGGGACTTCCAGGTTTTTAAAATGCTTTGAAATCGTTTCAAAAAGGTAACTTTAACGAAATTATTACGAGTAACAAGTAATCCGACACGACTCTATCCATGCCTAGTAGATAGATCCACCCCTTCTTTCAGACCCCTCTCACCTGCCGTTTGTTAGAAGGCTGAATTTCTGCACCAGAGAGGCAGCTCTATAAATTTCCCTGACCTTCCCATAAGAAGTAATATAAAAATAGTGTTGATTCTAGGCAGAATGTAATTGGAATAAAGTGAACAGTGGTCTTATCATCAGCTAACAATGCTATTTAAATCTTGTAAAATGCCAACAGGTTTAATGAGCCCCAGGTTTCTTACCTTCTTGGTGCCATTGTTCCACAAAATGACAGTAAGTGGAACATAGCAATATGCTAGAATCCTCATCAACACTTGAGATATATCGGACACATATTTCCAAACCGAGAGACATAGATGGTAGTGATGACAAAAGGCAAGGAGTGGAAGAATCTGTGAAAAGGAATTTAGGGTTGAGCTGAACAAATGTTTAGTAACTGCTGTTGTTATATCTGAATGTAGAAATTCCTGACACACATCTAATAAAGTCGTTCTTCTAAGCAACTTGTTCTGTTGGAGTGTTGTATGGTTTCTGGGCTGTATGGCTGCGTTCTAGAAGCATTTTCTCCTGATGTTTCACCTGCATCTGTAACTGGCATCTTCAGAGGATCTGAAGGATCCTCAGAGGATCAGATCCGCTGAAGATGCCAGCCATAGATGCAGGCAAAACATCAGGAGAAAACGCGGTCACATGAGCCAGAAACCACACAGTTATTTATTTATTTATTTATTTATTTATTGCACTTATATTCCACCCTTCTCACCCTGAAGGGGACTCAGGGCAGAGCACAACAGACAAACGGCAAACATTCAATGCCAGGACAAATTAATGATGCACATACATAAGCATTAAAATCATTGATCTCAACATTAAAACCACTGTTTAAAACCATCTCGGTCATCCACGTCAAGTCTAGTTGGCAAGGTGAGGTTTCCAATTGCTGTCTTATTGCACTGTTCCAAAAGCTTGGTCCCACAGCACCCCAGTGATTCCAGCCTTGAAAGCCTTTGAGCATAACTTGTTCTGTTATTCTGTTATTGCTCTACTCAGTAGGCTCTTTGGAATCCACATACAGGGAAAGTGTATTCGAAGGACATAACATGAACTTTGTTTAGTCATGGATGAAGCCAATGCTTAACTTGTAATTTCTTTGGAATTGAATGAGGATAGCAGAAGCGTTTTTTCTGAAAGATCTAGTATAGGTAGAAAAATATTGTTTTTATCTGAAAGACCAAGCATGAAGCTGTAATTCCTTGGGTTCATTGTGTCTTCAAAAGAAACTGATATGGGTCAGTATTTTTGAACTCTGCTTCTTCAAAATTTACCCTTCTTCAACTCTTGGATGAGACACACTATCTAATTCTAGTTACTTGGACAGTTCCCAAATGAAAGCTATAGTCAAGGAAATGGTATCTAGAATGAAATAGAATTGCATGACTGTTGTCAGAGGGACCATAATAATAATAATAATCATCATCATCATCATCATCATCATCATCATCATCATCATCAACAACAACAACAAATAAAATAATACAATAGAAAATCAAACACAATCACAAGGAGCAGGCTACATGTGTAAAATACAATGATAAAAACTCAGGATGAGATAAAGATAAAAACCTACATATTTGTAAAGGCTTTTCCCTGTTTCCCTACTGCTTCCATGGGTTTGTAGGATAATGGTTGTGGTGGATTCGGGATTCTCTCCTTCCTTGGAACGTAACGAACCTCCTAAAGTCCCCTAAAGTTCTTGGATTTCCTCACTCAGCTTCATGAGTCTGACATACACTTTCAAAGCACTGTTTCTCCCCTCCCCATTCTCTCACACACATATTGTGAATTTGACCAAGAGATTCTGAATATGAAAATGACACATAGAAAGAAATGATTCTTTACACAACTCATTGCACAGCCTTTCCATCAAGCCGAATTTTAAATATATCCAACAAAATCTGACATACTGTACCTAACTTATGAAAAAGTACTTCTTTCCCTCTGAAACATGTTAATTTTAGATTGTGTATGCCATGTGCATTGGATAAAGTGAGTAAGAAAGAAAACAAACAGTATTTAAACAAAAGCCTTTTGCAGAAAGGCTGATACTATTTATTCTTTCATTTTAAATGAATTGTTAACAGTGCTTTGAAAAGGCATTAAATCCTCCCTGTGCCATTAATCTGGGGATGCAGAAAAAGATTTTAAATGGCCTTTCAGTATATTGCTTTGTAAAACTGCTGATTTTAGCAGTACTAAGATAGGAACTTATACTGATGTAACAAACAGGGAATACAGTGACTGCACCTTCTGTCTTTGCTAAAAGAGGAATTACTGCTTAATATGGAACAGACTCTTAGTACTCAGAGCCATCAGCAAGCATCGATCTGGTTCAGACATAATGCTGAACTTTGGTTTACTATTCTGTCCATGGGCCCTGGCTTCCAACATGGCTACAAGGAAGAGATCACAAGCTTTTATTTCCTTTTTTGATCATCCATATTATTGTTATATCAAAACATGTGACTCTAGGTGATATTAACTATGATTTGCAACCCAGGGCTTGGGTTGGAAGTGGGGACTAGTGTTGTCAAGCATTTTTGAGTGGCTGTGGATAGAGAGATCTGGTGAAAAAAGAAGCCAGTATTCCAGAATAAATCTTACCAAGTTGAAGAGAAAGCCACCGAGGTTTTATTTCATTCCAGCTGGAAAGGATGCTGATTGCAGTAGCCTGCCAATAAAATCAACATATCCACTGGGCAAAGAGATACAATATATATAGCCTTCAGATTCAAAAGTTCCCATGCCCACCCTACCTCCTGAACTGGCTTTGTTATGATTGGCTGTCACATCAGCAAGCCAGGAGGAGACCCAATGAGGGCTTTGGCCCTGCTTTTGGTTGCTCAGCCAACGAGGTGGAAGGGAGGTGGGCAAGAGGGAAACAATGAAGAAACGTCTAGTTGACTGGATTAAGGTGACTGGTGTTTGCTAAATAGCTGGGTGATAGCTTTTAGGCTCTCAAGCCTAGCATAGGTTATTGTTTGATTCTGTGAATTAACATTCCTATCTAGCCCCGAGAGGCTAGGTCCTTTGTCACACTGTCCTTCGATATGAAGTGAATTGATGAAGTTGATGCTAGTTTTGGGAGAACAGGATGTGGCACAGCAGGGAGGCAGATGACAAATCCCTGGTTCCTCACAGATAGAGAGATGTCCTTTGTGTTGAGTGATCCAGTATGTCCATAGACTCAATTGTTCTGGATGGCCTGCCTATCAGCCCTCCGAGGTCCACATAGATAGAGCCATTTACCTATTGCCCATGCAAATATATCTGGTTGAGTCCTTTGTTAGGGGATTATCAGCCCAGGAAGTTTGGAAACTCCAAGAACCATGAGTTGCTGGTTCATGAAAAGGTTGCTTTCCTTCATATTTTCTAATATAGACATACATACACATAGGGCATGAGGAACGGGACAAGGGAGCATACACAGAGTTCATAGGAAAAGGGGGCTTGTGCAAGGTCTAAGGGGAAGTCATGTCAGCCCCAAAGTTCATAAAAGTTCATAAAGTTTGACAAGAGTTTATAAAAGTTCCCATAAAGTTCATGAGAGTTTATAACAATTCATAAGAGTTAATTGGGGGGGGGGGTGCATAGAAGTTCAGGGGAGCACTGAGTAGTCAGAGTCCATTCATAAAAACAGGAGGAGAGATAAGCGATTGTGTGTGGGATCATTTCAGCGTGGTGTCCTTGGCAAAACTATGAATTCCCTGATTTTGAATGATCTTTTACAGAGTCCTGGGGTGGGGGGGAGGGGTCACCTCCGATCACACTAGATCCTGCGCAGAAGCTATTTCAGTGCAGGTTTTAGCTTTGTCTGGAAATGCCCTTTAAGAATTTAAATGGTATTGTTTTTTTAAAAAAATCATATGGTGATTTGGATTCCATGGTAGGAGAAAAATGGGATCGAAGGGCCCTTCCACACAGCCATATAACCCAAAATATCAAGGCAGAAAATCCCACAATATCTGCTTTGGACTTGGTCCACACTGCCATATATTCCAGTTCAAAGCAGATAATGTGGGATTTTATTCAGCTGCATAGAAAGGGCCTGTATCAAATAAGTAGTCTTAATCTTAATACAGTTAAAGATGCTTTGGACTACAGTTCCCATAGCCTAAGCCTCCAAAAGACTATGGTGAATGAGTATTATGGGAGCTGTAGTTTAACACATATAGAGAGCAGCAAATTGTAAATGATATGTGAATTTTCAGCACCTTTTTTGGCTTGCAAAACATTTGGCAGTGGGAAGCATTACTTCTTTTTCAGTATAATTTTCCATGTTATTAATAGTGCGAAGACGGCGTGTGGATTCCTCTTGAGCCCCAGCATTTCTTCTTTGTTGATTTTGGCATGCTGGAGCATCATTTGTTCTCTGATTATCATTTTCAGAAACATTGTCAGTAACTGGGTTGAATAATTGATCTTCATCTCTAATTATGCTGTTCTCTACAGGTGTCTGGAAAAATTCCAGATGGGCCTTCACACCACCTCCAGTACGAAGGCATAGAAAGACAATATGCCTCTTTGCCCAGGTAAGATTTATTTGAATTTCAGTAGCCTTCAGTCTCTTATACACACACACTGGTGTACATCTACACAAACCCCCTTCGCAGACTGGCAGGGAGATTTTCCCCCTGCTATTACACTGTTTAGCAAAATCTGCATTGAACAGACATCTGGCAACGAAATGAGAGATTATGTTGCAATTTTGTCATGCTGCCCTTCTGCTGATGATTTAGTGCCATCTTTATAGCTGTGTTAATAATTTAGACAGCCAATTTTGGGGTGGGTGAGGGGAGTGAAGTCTCTCTCAATGAACATGTCAGCAAGAGTCATGATCTGCTGGGGAAGAACATGACATTGAGGAAAGCTTATTCCAGGAGAGTTATAGCAGGTCTTAGCAGGGCCTAACGGAGACAGAGTCTGTGGTGATAAAAATCGTAGCAAGGAACGACAGAACATCACTGTGAGGAGTTCCCAGTGCAACAGTCACAACCAAGTTCACAGCTCAGGGCTACTGGGAGGATCCTGCATTCTCACAGGCTTAACAGCAAGTCACTAAGGCTGCTAGGTTTGCCTACGAGAGATCATGTCCTTTTGCACTTGAAAACATTGGAATAAACATGGAAAGATTTCAAAACATTTCTTTTGGAGGTGCTAAAAAAAGTAGCAGGGACTCTGTCAGCTAAGGAGATTATGGGAGCTGTAGTCCAAGATACTAAACTCTCCAAACTTTGATAGGATTGTTAGTGTGCTCTGACCTAATGCAGACAACACATTTGGTTATTTATTTACTATATTTGTATACCGCTTTTCTCAGCCCTCGGGCGACACATCATGCACATACTCTGATGTAGCTGTTTATATTTATTTAAACATTTTATTTATTTGTTTGTTTATTTGTTTGTTTACGACATTTGTAGCAGCTTACAGAATTGGCAGAATTTGAAGCCATATATTCATAAAAATACAGTTAAAAACATTCAACTGAATACTATAATAAACCATATAAAACCATTAAAAACATATAATTACCAGTGTCATCCTGTTAAAATCATTATCTATCAGCATCATCTAGCCTAGAGGTCCTCAAACTAAGACCCGGGGGCTGGATACGGCCCTCCAAAGTCATTTACCTGGCCCTCACTCAGGGTCAACCTATCCTATCTCATCAGCCAAAAGCAGGCCCACAATTCCCATTGAAATACTAATATGTTTATATTTGTTAAAATTGTTCTTCATTTTAATTATTGTATTGTTTTGAAGTGTTTTTTTTTTTGCACAACAAATAAGATTTGTGCATTGTGCAGCTTCCAGCAAAGGACCACCGCCTTGTCGGGGCGCTGGAGCTTGAGCACCTCAATGATGTCATGAGCGAAACCGTGAAGGGCCACCCAAGACGGGACGGTTGTGGCAGAGAGGTCAGACCAAGCGTGATCCCTGGGGAAGGCAATGGCAAACCAAACCAGTATCCTTGCCAAGAAAACTAAATGGACCAGTACAACCAGAGATATGTCGGTATGCCATTGGAAGATGGGACTCCCAGGTCGGAAGATGGCCAAAATGCTACTGGGAGGAGCAGAGGATAAGTTCAACTAGCCCCAGATGTGATGACGCAGCTAGCTCAAAGCCGAAAGGAAGGCTAGCGGCCGACGGTACTGGAGGTGAACGACGAATCCGATGCTCTAAAGATCAACACACCATAGGAACCTGGAATGTAAGATCTATGAGCCAGGGCAAACTGGATGTTGTTATTGGAGATGTCAAGACTAAAGATAGACATTCTGGGGGTCAGCGAACTGAAGTGGACTGGAATGGGCCACTTCACATCAGATGACCACCAGATCTACTACTGCGGACAAGAGGAACATCGAAGAAATGGAGTAGCCTTCATAATTAATAAGAAATTCGCTAAAGCGGTGCTTGGTTACAACCCAAAAAATGACAGAATGATCTCAATTCCAGTGCAAGGAAAGCCTTTCAACATTACAGTGATCCAAATATATGCCCCAACCACAGCTGCTGAAGAAGCAGAAGTAGATCAGTTCTATGAGGATCTGCAGGACCTACTGGATAATACACCAAAAAGAGACATTATTTTCATTACAGGAGACTGGAATGCCAAGGTGGGAAGTCAAATGACAACTGGGATCACAGGCAAGCATGGTCTGGGAGAACAAAATGAAGCGGGACGCAGGCTGATAGAATTTTGCCAGGAAAACTCGCTGTGTATAACGAATACTCTCTTCCAACAACCTAAAAGACGGCTTTATACATGGACCTCACCAGATGGGTCAACATCGAAATCAGATTGACTACATCCTTTGCAGCCAAAGGTGGCGGACATCCATCCAGACGGTGAAAACAAGACCTGGGGCTGACTGTAGCTCAGATCACGAACTTCTTATTGCTCAATTTAGAATAAAACTAAAGAGATCAGGGAAAATACACAGACAGTTAGATATGATCTCACTAACATTCCTAGCGAATATACAGTGGAAGTGAAGAACAGATTTGAAGGACTAGATTTAGTAAACAGAGTCCCAGAAGAACTATGGACAGAAGTCCACGACATTGTTAAGGAGGCGGCAACAAAGTACGTTCCAAATAAAAAGAAAACCAAGAAGGCAAAATGGTTGTCTGCTGAGACACTGGAAGTAGCCCAAGAAAGGAGGAAAGCAAAAGGAAACAGTGAAAAGGGGAGATATGCCCAGTTAAATGCGCAATTCCAGAGGTTAGCCAGAAGAGATAAGGAACTATTTTTAAATAAGCAATGCATAGAAGTGGAGGAAGACAACAGAATAGGAAGGACAAGAGACCTCTTCCAGAAAATTAGAAACATTGGAGGTAAATTTCAGGCAAAAATTGGTATGATAAGAAACAAAGATGGCAGGATCTAACAGAAGCTGAAGAGATCAAGAGAAGGTGGTGAGACTATACAGAAGATCTTTATAGGAAGGATAATAATATTGAGGATAGTATTGACGGTGTGGTGAATGAATTAGAACCAGACATCCGGAGGAGTGAGGTTGAATGGGCCTTAAGAAGCATTGCTAACAACAAGGCAGCAGGAGACGACGGGATCCCAGCTGAACTGTTTAAAATCTTAAAAGATGATGCTGTCAAGGTGATGCATGCCATGTGCCAGCAAATATGGAAAACACAAGAATGGCCATCAGACTGAAAAAAATCAACTTATATCCCCATACCAAAAAAGGGAAATGCGAAAGACTGCTCAAACTTCCGTACAGTGGCCCTTATTTCTCATGCCAGTAAGGTAATGCTCAAGATCCTGCAAGGAAGACTCCAGCAATACTTGGAGCGAGAGTTGCCAGATGTTCAAGCTGGGTTTAGAAAAGGCAGAGGAACGAGAGACCAGATTGCCAATATCCGCTGGATAATGGAGAAAGGCAGGGAGTTTCAGAAAAACATCTACTTCTGCTTCATTGACTATTCTAAAGCCTTTGACTGTGTGGATCATAATAAAGTGTGGCAAGTTCTTGGTGGGATGGGCATCCCAAGCCACCTTGTCTCTCTCCTGAGGAATCTGTACAAGGACCAAGTAGCAACAGTCAGAACTGACCACGGAACAACAGACTGGTTCAAGATTGGAGAAAGGCGTACGGCAAGGCTGCATCCTCTCACCCAACCTTTTTAACTTGTATGCAGAACACATCATGCGATGTGCGGGGCTTGATGAATGCAAGGCTGGGGTGAAAATTGCTGGAAGAAACATTAACAACCTTAGATATGCAGATGACACCACTTTGATGGCCGAAAGCGAGGAGGAGCTGAGGAGCATTCTAATCAAGGTGAAAGAAGAAAGCGCAAAAGCCGGGTTGCAGCTAAACATCAAAAAAACCAAGATTATGGCAACAAGAATGATTGACAACTGGAAAATAGAGGGAGAAAACGTGGAGGCCTGTGACAGACTTTGTATTTCTAGGTGCAAAGATTACTGCAGATGCAGACTGTGGCCAGGAAATCAGTAGACGCTTACTTCTTGGGAGGAGAGCAATGTCAATCTCGATAAAATAGTAAAGAGTAGAGACATCACACTGGCAACAAAGACGCCTAGTCAAAGCCATGGTATTCCCTGTAGTAACCTACGGATGTGAGAGCTGGACCTTAGGGAAGGCTGAGCGAAGGAAGATCGATGCTTTTGAGCTGTGGTGTTGGAGGAAAGTTCGGAGAGTGCCTTGGACTGCGAGAAGATCCAACCAGTCCATCCTCCAGGAAATAAAGCCCGACTGCTCACTGGAGGGAAAGATACTAGAGACAAAGTTGAAGTACTTTGGCCACATCATGAGGAGACAGGAAAGCCTAGAGACGACAATTATGCTGGGGAAAGTGGAAGGCAAAAGGAAGAGGGGCCGACCAAGGGCAAGATGGATGGATGGCATCCTTGAAGTGACTGGACTGACCTTGAGGGAGCTGGGGGTGGTAACGGCCGACAGGGAGCTCTGGCGTAGGCTGGTCCGTGAGGTCACGAAGAGTCGGAGACGACTGAACGAATGAACAACAACAATGTGCATAGAAATTCATTCATGTTTTTTTTTCAAATTATAATCCAGCCCTCCAACAGTTTGAGGGATTGTGGCCTAGCCCTCTGTTTAAAAAGTTTGAGGACCCCTGGTCTAGCCATTCCGTGTTCATTCTTCTTATTTCATAATTATTTCTTCTTCTGCATTTCCAAACACTTGTTAAGAAAGCCAAATTTTTACTCTTTTCCTGAAGTTTAGGTGGGAGGGGGCTGATCTAATATCCCTAGATATTACACTACACTACAACACCCCTCCCTTTTGATCTTTGTCTTCTTTCCCCTGTGATCTAATATGGTCTTTTGCCATTGCAAGCTCCTTCCCACTATCTAAAACATACACCCTTTGAAAAGCTGCAAATCCTTGCTAAAAGTTGTCTTTCTTGTGTTGCTATTTCCAAGTTATGGTGACCCTAAGGTGAAATTGTCAAATGATTTTCTTAACCAGATTTATTTGGGGGGAGTGTTGCTTTTGCTTTCTGCAGAGAGAGT